TCAGCTGTGGAATAAAAAAGAGCTGCTAAATGTATAAACAACTGTGTTAAATCATTTTCATTTATTCAGAAGCCGCAGCGCTGCGCATTTTTCTGCCATTAATTAGCTTGGTGTTGGGCTTGTTTTCAGTTTCTGTTTTTTGAAGTGAAATAGGGCTTTTTATGTTTTTAGCCTGATGAGACAGCGTACAGCACACATAATGTATGTCAACAATGTGTAACTTTGACATCTAAAGTCATGCGCAAAGTGCCTGCAAGATGGCAGCTACAAATTTTGCCTAGTGGTGTCAGTTGTCAGGAGCATATTTCTTTTTTCAGTGGATCCCACATTAAATCAGCCAACCTATAAGTTAGCTGAGTTCAGGGGTGTTGTCAAGTGAACCATTCAGATTCATTAATGTTCCATTAAATGCAGTGGAGAGGCCTGGGGTTTGTTAACACAAAATAAAACGCTCAATGCACTCAGCTGCCTTTTTTTCCATGTTGCTTCTCAAATTGATTTGAGCGAATCATTCTGAGCTCTACAGGAGAAGCAGAGTTTGTCAGTCACGACTGTTAAAACTCAGAAATGTAGAAAATCACTTTTTATAGCTGTGCTAACCTTCTTGTTTTGGAATTCCAGTCACTCATATCAGTTTTATAATAATAATAGGCAACAATATACCACAACTACAGCATCTAAAAGGCTTACTGTATTCGCTTTTATTTGTTCTGATGATAAATACCAACACATAGGCTGATTTTATAGAAAACTGATTTTGTTGTGGTAAATTACCGTAAATGTTACATTTAGACTATGCCAAATGCAGAAATTAAAAACAAACTGTAAGGCAGTAGTTAAAAACCAGCCCACCCATAGACATCACTTGTGCAAACACACGGCACCCTTCCTGTTTCAATCTTGCCGTATTTTGGTCTCCGACTTGTAGAAACTTCCGATTTGCCTCTGCTGCACAACATGACTAAATATTCAATAACAGTGTGATCTCAAAGTCAAACATATTTATTACGAAATTACTGGATCCCACTGAAAAGCTTTTATTGGGAAAATTTCCATGAAAATACAGCAGAATGTGTCACCAAAGGAAAAAAAAACAGCGTGGTCTCTTTTTTTATTTTTTATTTTTTTTTGTATTTTCGCTTGAAGCTCATTTTCATTTGTGAGATTTTTGCCATTTTCTCTCCCACCTCCCTCTGAGACACTTTATGCACAATCCCATTGCCTTTATTACAATTCTCAGCTGGAGCTGAACATCTTTTTGATCACTTTTCCAGCAAAGTCTGTGTAACCCAGGTGTTAAATCTGAATCTGTCTTCCTTACTCTTTAATCTGTTCTGCCTTATGTTCACTTCTGTAGTAAAGTCCCGCGATACTTTCTATATAATTGGTGGTAGTTCTCGTGAGGGTTGACTTTGTAGTTGTAGCCAATCACTGCTGGTCTTTCTGTGGTCACGTGTGGTGTTGCGACCTATCAGAAGAGTTTATAAGCGCGAGCGGAAGTATGTGGGGCAGGCAGGGGGGCATGCTGAATGGAGCAGAGCTACAGGTCGGTTTTAAGTTGTTTGTTGACGG